AAAAAAAATGTAAATGTCCTAGGTAATATTTCTACTGCTGTGATTGTAAACCATCACCTTGACAACTCTCATAAAGAAAAACATTTAATTGGGTGTCTTATAATTCAGAGGTTTAGTTCATTATCATCATGGTTGGTCATGGTGGCATGCAGGCTGATCTGCTGCTGTAGAAGTACCTTAGAATTATACATGTTTGATCAACAGTAATAACCTGACTTACTAGGTGTGGTTTAAGTGTATCGGAGAGTTCAAATTCTGCCTCCAGAGTGACACAGTTTCTCCAAAAAGACCACTCTTTCTCCAACAAGGCAATACTTACTAATAAGGCCACTCCTAATGATCTTATGTGGGCAAATCACATTCAAACTACTTCAATAATCTAATGGTTTTTATCAAGGCAATGGGAAAGGAGGAGAAGGAGAGGGCTTGATAAAGATATGTTGGCCACACTTGGTCTGGCAAAAGGACCTTCAGAATCATTAAGTTTGTGTGTGTGTAAAGATTTATATGTGTGTCTACATGCAGAATAACAAAAGAGTTCATGAATTTGAGAGTGATTCAGTTTATATGGGGTAAGTAGGAGGATGAAATGATAGAAGAAAGTTATATAATTTTGATGTTTGAAAATGCAAAAATAATTAAATATATTAAATAAATACCCTCTTAGTTGTGCTTTCATCTGGCAAGAAGGACCCTGTAGTCCTGAGGCTTGTTCATTAGAAACAGTAACACTATCACTTAAGGTAGAAAACTTTGTATATTTTTAGAATTAAAAATCCTACATCCAGATTCCATCACCATTGGGAAGGGACAAGCACCTTGCTCCTGCCTGAATTTCCATCTATGTGAGACTGAGACTGTGAGTGTCCTCCAGTGTGAAGGAGATACTGATATAACACCATAAGAAACTCAACACAAGAACATTCAAGTAAGAATGATAGCACAGAATGTTTGTTTTTAGGAATAGGACCCCATTCATAAGCTGTAATCTCTAACCTGGCAAAATAAGGAAATGTGATTACAATTGTGCTGAATCAGAGGATTATTGAAGAGCCATGATGTGCTTCTAGATTTTAAATCTTTTTATCTAAAAATGCATTTAAAACATATGTAATTAGTTAATTTGTTTAAGGGACTGAAAGTTGGCTCAGTTTTGAAGAGAATGTACTGCTCTTACAGAAGCCCTGAGTTCGGTCCCCAGCACCCATGTCAGGTGTCTCACAGCTGGCTGTAACTAACTATGAAGACAGTGGATGCCTGTCATATGCACCTGCAATTGTGCACACAAAACTATTCCTCTCACATACATAGACAAAAATGAAGAAACAATAAAATATTGTTTGCTTAAGTTTTGTTGTATTTCTCCCTGTAAATACCCATTACTCCTTTATGTTTTTACATTTAAAACAATTTCACTAGACTTTATTTAATCACTTCAGTAAATATTATGTGTG